ATCAGGGGTTGATAATCACATCGACCTTTCAAACACACTCAAGAAATCTGAAGCTGGAGCACTTTCAAAGATTTATTCGTGATAAATCTAAAAATCAGAAAATTTATTTGTTTGAAACGCTTATTCCTAGGTAGAATACATAAAATTTCTCCAGAAGAAGCTCTATCTATTCATGAGGATGTGAACTTTCATGGGCATTTTCAAAATGTAAGTAAACATGTCAGGATTATAATCTGATTCTGCAAAGCCCTAGAAATATGGAATGTCCCGGATAATATACCCGTTGCACTCAGGGTCGGGAAAGTAGATTGAAGAATATCAAATCTCGAGGACAGTCAACGAACTCTCGACGGGGAGTGATTCGTATAAGTGCTTTTGGGAAGGATGGTAGAACAATAGTCTCAGACCTTCCTTCGCCATCTTCTGGTAGTTGCAAAATGTGGAAAATCCCAAGAGACAAAGGAAAAAGTTAGCAGGGAGGTCGGTAGGTTCGTGTTCGCTCCTGGGCATGGGGAGGGACCAAGTGATTCCTAATTTTCGTCTACGTAGTTTTCCAAGACCAAGGATTCCATTCTATTCGATCAGATTATTTGGGATTACTAGCTATTATTTGGGATTATTAGCTCCGTGTAAGAGCAAAGCAGAACTGGATTTTTGAACTATTGGTCAGGCCCTGCATCTCATCGCATAGACCAGCACCAAACACATCATTGCTTTCAAAAGTCGTTGACAACGAGCGGGAGCTGGATGCATGGCTAATCCAGAAACCCCATTGACCAACAAATTTGGGCCTTTCTTACTTGCCGGACCTTTTGATCAGGTCGTGGGGTCTTTATCCTCTACCCTTTATCGATCAAAGAAGCCTAGTCTAGGGAAGTATGGATACCCAGAGTCGATGGAAAGACGACCGTTGCTCAGGTGCTGACAAACACATCCACCCACTCGTCTGGGTCGGAACCTTCGTTCACATTTCGCCTGACTTATTCGCCCTTTCTGCGTCTGGGTGTAGCCATTCATATATCCGGGTCGAGTCAGTAATTCTGCAACTTGCTAACAGAAAACTACCTTACTATGCAAATCAGTGGCGTCCAGCCCACGGCTGCGGTTTTTCCATAAAAGGCTGACTGGCGCCACGTGGTGACCGTCGGGGCGCCAGGGGAGTCTACGGTTATCTACGACTTTATTTCGGTAAGCTCCCGCCGCTGTCGCCACCACCGCCACCACCGTGAGCGGCCGCCGCCCAAGTCGGCGAGTCAGCAGTACCTACGCTTATCATCCCCATCCGATTCCGACAGTACCGTGTGATCCTATGACTGATGTGAGTTTTTGAAGTTTCACTTTTTTCTATGTGGATGATCCTGGAAACTGAGTGGCTGTCCGAAGTACATCGGCAGATTCCTTCTAGTCTTGTGAGCCCTTTATCAGTATCACTGATCAAGGTCAACCTGGCCCGATATCACATGATGTCGCACAAGCGGGAGAATTCATAATTTATGATTCTGCTACGATTTATACTCTCTTACTGGGTTAAGGGAAGTTATAGATATTCCTAAGCCTAGACTAAGCCTTTCACTAGAGTTTGGATCCTCCAAGGGGTTTTACAATACAGAAGGACACCAAATCCCCCAAGCAGCTTCTTTCCGAGAAGTACTCACTTTATCCTATAGGACCATGTCTCCTCAAGCAACCCCGGATGCCCTGGAACAGGTTTTCGTTTAGTTTGACGAATACTGGGGAATGTGAAGGGAGATGGTCATTCTGGCCTCAGCTGACCCCCTACATTCTTAGACTCCTTAAAGGCACAGTTCACGATAAATTTGAGGTACCCTTTTTTAGTCGAAAAGCGGAAGTTAGGTTGGGAATAGCTNATTCTTAGACTCCTTAAAGGCAGAGTTCACGATAAATTCGAGGTACTCCTTTTTAGTCAAAAAGCGGAAGTTAGGTTGGGAATAGCTCATTGGTGGTGAAGAAAGCGGTAAAATTAGCTGATCTTGAGGAAAATAAGGCTCCGAAAAAGTAGGGAAAATAGAGTGGACGAGATCACCATGACGGAAATAATGTGGAAGGGGTATTCGGACGAGATTTCAGTTGTTGCAATAGCGCAAAGAGCTGACTACATCAAGCCAGAACTGTACAGAACTATCTTCCACTGTTGATATAGGTCATGACAAGTTGTTTAAACTTCCTACACGGGTTCCTTTGTGATCTGCGCGGCCTCTACAGTGCAGGTGAAACTCGTCCGAGGATACACGCAAGACAATCTTCGAGCCTTTATAAAGCCCTAACTAGGCCGTTTTGCAACATGATATGATATAAGAGGGGGCATCAAATTCATCTTATGGGGAAATCCCAGAAACCATTTTTATGGTGAACTGTGTTTTTGACCCGAGCCTGTTCTCCAGAAACTTTAGAATAAAGGTATTGGTGCAAGATTTGTGATTGACTGGGCTAAGTGCCAGGTGTGTTGCGTGCGTGCGGGTGTTGTCACGAGTTCTGCACTGAATCATGCTATTGCAACGTTATCAGTCACGGCTGATTTATCTCTAAGAAATGGCGCTCTTGTCGCTTTTGCTTGCCATTCATCGGGGATATCATCTTTGAGCACGAATAGAACATTCTTGAAACTCTTTACTAGTAACTGATTTTCGTAGAAAAGTGACAACCTGAAGCTGCTTAACTAGCCTACACACATGTACTGGCACACACCTTTTCATCAGCCTATTTTGCCCTTGATATCGTCATTCTCCTCCTGGAAAATCCATCCATCAAGCGTATAGTTTCAGTGAATAAAGTGATGTTCAAGTCACAACGGATCGAAAATCATGAATTTCCAATAAAAATTAATAATCGCAACTGGGGTTTTACATCCAAAACGGATTGCACTGATAAGTACATCTGCTCCATTAAAGCAATGAAGGAGCCTACGCACATTTTTTTCCGACAGGCAGAAAATTCCAAAAACTCCTAGACAGCGTCTTTGTCTCTAGGAGATATTGAAACTGCATATTTTTTAATTTTGTTCGAGCTATGCAAAAAAATTACAAAAAATGGAAAATGCAATTTTGAATTTCTACCTCTAGCGGATCTTACAACTATTTCATTAGGCTTAATCTTAATGGAGCACCTAAGAAGTGATAATAAATATAGGAAAACAATAATAAATAAGAAAAAAAATGGAATTATCAATCATCGTAGTAGCAGTTATTAACCAAAAAATTTAATAATGAGAAAAAATGACTGAATCCATTCTGCTGAGGGTTCATAATTCCTCCTCGTCACACACTGCTGGTGGCATCATTCTCTGGACCTATTCCTACTATTCAATTCCATGCCAACAGGTAGCTTCTGGGACTTTCTTTTTGGTTAGGATGATCCCTTCCCTACATTTATTTCACTTCCATCAATAGGTTGCTTCAAAAGCTGATTTCCGGGTGACTACTTAGCCGCCACATGAAGTAGCCGCATCAGATCCATCTCGGTTTCTCAGCCGAATCGGTACTATTCTATGGTCAAGTTCTTCAATCGACTCGAATCGTTTTTGAAGTTCATTCCTCACCACTGAATCCAATGAATTCATCGCGTTCATTCCGAAAACGTCTAGTTCCTGGAACCACTTGTATTGCGCCTAAACAGCTTGTACCTTCTTGAACCACGGTACAGTACAGCTCAGTAATGCCATTGTAGTCATGATGATTCTCTGGATAGGTAAGAACGTGGAAGGAATAAAAAATTCCAATAGACTGTGCTCAATGCTGAACCCAACCTGCAGAACATCACAAATCCCCCTAAATTCCAGCTGATGCCTTATAGAGAACCAGTAAACGTGCCATCAAACAGCGCGTAAAAGTAAGCAAACAAATAATTGAGCAAACTGCTGACTGAGACTTCTTTTAGTCTTCGAAAGGGGCAAAAGTGCAGAGATTCTGCGTTTGTGAGCTTAAAACTCTCAAAAAGTCCCATAGTGGGACCCTTTGGACTGGATCACTTTCAGAGCCTAGAGCAATAAAACCGAAGATTTTTGAAGTCGCAATTCACTTAAAAATTTTGAAACTCTTCAAATGAATGTTTGAAGCCACTTTGCACGTAGTATGAGAAGCTGCGACACAGGACAGCCCTGACAGGAGAAGAAGGGCTATCAGCTGAAATGCCTTTCCCAATCACGAGGGATGTCCTTTTAAGTAATAACTTTTTCTTGTGTTCAGCCACGTGTACCGATGACATCGAATGCTGTGATTTTTCACCGATGGTATGCCTATCGAGACGAACGGACAAGCAGTTCCAGTTCAGACAGTGGAGTGGCCAGTCTACAGTTCAGCCCACCACATCTCCTTTCCCTCGGTAAGACTTATGAATATTATTTGATATTTATGATATAACTATTCTAAAATAAGTAGGGGAGGATGTATTGCGAAGTCTTTGAGCGTCAACCAATTCCGTTTGGGGATGCGCCCTGCAGTCGATTTCCATTCAGAATCCTGTGGCGTCTTGTATGCGTATGTGGCCTACCCAATGACTTGCGGTGGCCAGCCGATGTTTAAATCAGTGCTTTAATCCACCTAGAAGGGTGTGGTACCAGTTGACCGACCCCTGGGGGATGAACGACCTTGCTGTCTAAGCGGGTATCGTCCCAGGATTCGAACCCGTAACCTTGCGTGTGTGATAGTGCGCCACCTGCCACTACACCACGTCCGCCCTATATAATACATAGGGAAAATAGGTAATACATTAATTAAAAGAAAAAGTGAACTGAATCACCAATGATTTGATGTTGAATGATTTCGATTCATCCACTTGATTGAATCTACTGGAATACCTTCACCCAGAAATCCCTGAGTTGCCACAGGGGTCATCTAAACTTGCCTACGGTTGCAGAACGGACACGTATGCATGGCATATCCGGGAATAGATGTTGGATGTTCTTTTTGCACTTGATGCTATAACGTCTGAGAACAAATGTGCATGAAAAACCACACAGATTATGTAAAGTAAGCCCTATGTGTGGGACTCTAATACATTCCTTAGCGGGAATAGTATCAGAGGGGATCATCGAGCAGTTTCTTAGGCCTAAGCCGTTATCGACCTAACTGGGCGGGCCTTTTTTTGGTGTCAGTCTGTTGCTCATCTTATTTCTTTTCAAAAAGATTGAACGTCTTGTTTGGATCATCGGCTAACCTATGGCTCACCTTTCTTTCTCACTTTTTTCTCCTTTTTATTCCTTTTTTTCTCTCTTTCAACTGAGAACATTGAAAAAAACGGCTGCACTGCTCGGTACTAATTGAGCCTCTTTCGAATGATGCGCCATGCTTCCAATTCCAGTTCGGAGTTTTCGCTCTGGAGTGATCGTGCTAATCCCTGTCTATTATTAGAACTGGACAGTTAACTCTGCGGATTTGCTAAGTAAAGTAGATTTTTGTGATTTTGAAAGAAAAAGGTCTCATTCCCTTTATTAGCATCACTGCCATACTTTCTATTTGAAATTCAAGGTTCACATTACCCATTTAACTCTGTAAATAACATTTTCTAGTACAGTAAACCCAAAGCGTTTAATCATTTCCGCTCATGGTCCCTCCTTGTCATGGGTTTCTCACATTTTAAGCAACAAAATTCCCAGCTTTTCATTGAAAAACATGATATTTCAAACAATTAGTAGAAACTCAGGAAACTTGGCATTTTCATCTAATCCTCCATTGAAATTACGGTAAATCGGGTTGTTGTTTAGGTGCTTCGGTAAGTTCTGCTGTGATGGCACTCTCACCACCTGGGCTGTCACCGTTGCACGTACAGGATTCGGCATTTTCCACGCCAACACCCTCCAGTGGTAATGCGCCTAATACTAGTCGCTTCACATTCGATCACATACCGTTCCGGAAAGCTTCAGCAGGTATACCTATCATTTTTACCTGGTAGTTACCCTGCTTTAGCATGGACCCTACTCGATTTGTTATTAAAAAGTAATTTGTAGATGAACATGATGAAGATGACTTGACGAGCGCTTTCGACCTTCCTTCGTCATCTGGCAACAAAGATCCGGAACGCCTGAAGGATGTGCTGATGACAGTACGGCATCATGAAGACGTCACACCAACCCATCCACCTCTTCAACGGAAAGAATCGGTCATTCAGTCGACTCGAAGTGCTGAAGCAAGTCATGTTGGTTTTTAAGCAGGCTTCGACCCACCCGACCCTTCTACCACGCACCCTCCTCATAGAATACTGCGTTTGGGTTCTCCAAACATCATTAGGATTTGAAAATCAATCTTAGAAAGTCGCCGAGGTCGTCTAAGAGGTCCGCGAAGAAAAACTTGTTCGATAGGTACATACCGCAAACTTGAACTCAATTTTCATATTGAATAATACATTGACCCAATCGACTCCTCCGAAGCTCCATAGGTCTCGTCCTGCCTCAGAAATATTTATTCATTTGTAAAGGTCCCTGAAGCAATCGGGTATAGAGCGTCTCCCCTCACCCATCGGAAGGTTCTTCCCTACTCCCTTGATTTAATCTCGTATTTCCAGCCTCCGGTCGGACGAACCGAGTCGCTACCAATTGCTAGAGGATATGGTAATCAGCTGAGCGTTTCAGTGCCGGACACTCCATTGGAGAAGAGTTTTGGTACTCCGGTGAGTATAGAACTCCTTCACTTGCACCTTCTACCTGTTTTTTCGGAACCATCCAACTTCTCGAAGGAGTAGCGGGGAAGAAGGAAGCAACGAATAGTGCTGACCATGGATAATCTTCTCAGTTACCTCTTCCAAGTCCAGCGTCTTGTAGGGGTGGTCAGCAGAACCGAACTTAACTGCATGGGTATAGCTCGCTGGTCTCGGGAGAGGGAATTGAACTCAGGGAAGGGGATCATTTCTTTGGCATAGCCCATCCCAGTCTTAATCAAGAGCGAACTGAGAGGTAAAAGGGAGGGCCTACCTGTAGTAGTATTTGGAGTGGCCTAAAGAGTTTGACAGCGGAGAGGCTTCAAAATCCAGAGCGTATCGGAATCGCCTTTCAGTCGGACCGCCAGTTGAATTCCTAATAGTTCAAGTGTCTTCAAATGGTAGTGCAGAAACTGTGCCTTCCCAAAAAATTTCTACTATCTTCTTATTAGTTGTGCCCATTTGCGAGTATCAATATGGACATCTCTCAGGTAGTTTTTTGCAGTTCTTCCTGCTGCCCTCATCAGGGCATCCGATTGTGTCTTCATCATTATCGAGCCCCATATCATCTACGGATTCCTATCGACTGGCTGCATCGCCTTCCTATGTAGGACTGTCGCCCACACCTCGAACTGAAGGTGGTTCTACATCGGATCTGCAGAAATCACCTGGTTCGTTGTCATCCGAGACCCAGGGCGACGACGATGACAAGAAGCAATATTACTGTACCATTTGCAAAAAAGACTTTAAACGTCCGGACATTCTGTCAAGGTGAGTTCTTCTCTCAACTTTACCGTAACCCTAAAAGGGCCATCGGATTTTTTAGCTTTTCTGTGTCGTTGCATTGCAATCTGCAGGGTGTAGGTGTACGTTGTTGCCAAATTGGTCTGGTGTAACCCGTCGCTACGGTAATGGAAGCGATTTTTGCTTTTTAAATTAAAAATGATCTGAATGATCGACAAAATCGTCTGGTCCAGAAGTGTTCGCAGAACGTCATGTGCCTTGGTGGAGCGTGTGTTCTGCTCTCGAAGACATTCATGTGACGACCGGTGATAACCTTACGCCACCTACCCTTCTTATCGCATTAGAATTCTGATCACACGCGAATACGTTTGCACGGAATTCGCCTAGGCCAATTGCTTTCACCATTCCAATAATTCCGGGGACCAATGCAGTGATTATACACTGGAACTGTAGGAATACCGCTTACAGAAGTGCAACGGAAAACAGAACAAGCGTGGATTAGCTGTTAAGAAGGCTATAGCACTGATCCATTGCCTGGACACATCGACTTTGCCATATTCAGTACAGCCCGTCTCAGAGACATTAACCTTGATTGCAAAAGAAGTCTGCGAGATAAAGGGGAAAGGCTTCGGTCTTTGATGTCGCGTTTGCGGGATGCGCCCATGCATGTGACTTATATCCCGAATCGTAGAAGCACTTGAATGCGTATGTGACTTTTACAATGACTTTCGGTGGCCAGCCTATGTACAAGTTAGTGCTTCCATCTTGTAAGGTGAGCCTGGCCTCAACAGACACACTCCAGGAGGATGGAGGCCTTGAGTGGCCTGGGCGGGTACCGATTCGGAGCTCGATTCTCGGACGATGAGTGGGGACTCCCGACACTAAATGAATTCCACCTTTGCCAAGTTTTTGCCAAAAACACATTTTTGTCATAAGTTCCTGCAAAACACATGCTTTTGTCTCTCTTTACCTTGATATCATAAGAGAAACTTTGGCTTCGAACAACTCCGCTCTTCGAAAACGCCTACCCATTCGACTTTTATTCAGAATCGTAATCTTTTGAGTGTGTATTCGCCCTATAGAATGTAATATTGTTCCAGTTCATCTCAGAACAGCTTTCACCAGGCTCATCTCCTAAACCGCTTCTGAAATATCGGTCGACATTTGTAGGGCTCAAGGGGAATGCAAACCATCATCACTCTCACCTGCTTTTGCACTTTTGCTAAATTTCCCAGAGCAGTGGTGCTTCAAGTCTTCCTCGGATCACATCATTGTTATCAAACATTTCTTGTTTGATTGGGAACCTTACTGCTGTAGGAGTACGCTCTAACAAACGGTAAAAGCGAATGTAGAGGCGAACTCAGTGAAGTTGAGATCTCCTACTTCCACCAGCTACTACTCCCATAACTAGTTTTTCTTACCCTTTCCCAATTTGATCTTGGAGAGAGATTAGGGGTGATCTTATTTGATCGAACCGCGTCATCTCGGTCTATAAATCATTTCATCGTGAGTTATGGCTTCAGAAGAGCCGGACTTATGGCCGGAGAGCTTGGCTATCCTGGACTGCTGCGAGTCCAGGATCTATTCGCTGAATTCTAGCGTGGATTCAATCAATGTCAAATTTGTTGTGCTGTCAATTCATTTGTGAAGGCGTTAACCTCTTATCAGTTCGAGATTTAAGTTTCTCGCTGTTGTGTCCGTTATTTTACGACCCCCACCTTTGCAGTTTGCTACGGAGTGTAAAGGGCATTACATGAAGGGGTCGGCTTCGAAAAAAAATTACAAAAAATCCGTACAAAAATATGTTAGTGAAATTAAAAAATGCAATAATAAAATTAAATAGAAATGCAGTGTAGGAAAGTCGAAAGCGGAAAGTATCGAAAGTTTAATCAACAACGTTCTGTGGTTGCGCCACGCACTTAATTTCCACACCGAATTTTGACATCTCGAATGTGTGTTTGGTCTTTACAAGGAGTTCCACTGGCCAGCTGATTACAAGTCACTGCTTTCATCCTCCTCAACAAATTTGACACCCATTAATCGATTACGGGAGGATGGAGGGCTCGGTTGGCCTGCACTCGTAATAATACGGGATTCGATCCCTGGATCATGCGTGTGATAGTGCGCAGTTGCCCCTATGCCACGCTCCATGATATACGGTGTTTGAATTGTTAGCTACTGATGCTTCTTATGAACTGGAAGTATTTCATTACAGACATTTACGACGGCATACTGGTGAAAAGCCTTTTGGATGTGATGCGTGTGGACGGTACTTTTCTCGTTCGGACCACTTACGAACACATCGACGAACACATACTGACGAAAAGCCTTACCAGTGTACGATCTGTTCCTATGCAGCTGTAAGTTTCATTCTTTATATTCAGTAGGCTACCAACGCTCAAAAGCAAGCATTGTTCAAATTTGTATGAGAAGAGTATTCGCGATTAAAGGGCCGTACTTGATTGCAGTGGGGAAAGGGGTATTTCGTAGGAAAAAACAAACTTTTGGTGAAATTTATTCCATGGCATGAGCTATACATTAAGGAAATTTTGGGATTTCATTATCATCATGGGCTTTTCAGATTTAGTCTCGGTATTTTACTTCGGGGATTAGCATGAGTAGTTGTGCGAGGAGGGCGAAGAGGGTAGAGTTCTTTGAGAATACTTTAATGGTGGTGAAGACGAAACGAACTTCCTTATCAGCGTACTAGACAGTGCCGAAACTATCGTGGAAGGTTACAGGAAATGGTGATTTTATTGCAGAGACGTCGGGACGTACTTACAAGACATATGAGCACCAGACATCAAGCCAAAGCTAGCCTCTCGATTTTCCAGAAACATCGAGATATTCGAAGGTATTTTTACATAATTACTCCTGAAATAGACGGTAGTTCCGAGTCTCAGATTGTCTCAAAGAAAGTAGAAGACATATATGAACCAAGTAGCCATGACAGCACGGCCCCATGGCAGCAAATAAGAGTCGTGGGCCATAGGAAAGAGGTCGTCGTATGGCGCAGGGTCAGGGTGGAGAAAAACAGAAAAANNNNAAAAAAAAAGAAAAATTCAATTGAATCAGCCCAGTTTTTGAGGTAAAAACCTTACTGTATAGTAAATAGTCTTCCAAGTTATTGATTATTCAGATGCCTTAGTGATGGCGATCATGCACTGATCACATCCAGCTCTTTTGGTGCTGAACCCAGTACACCGAAAAGAATACGACACACTACTGACATTTCGCCAGTTCGGGAACATCCTGAACACAGAGATCGTACCCTCACGGAGGTATATATTACGTCGATTTCAAAGTATCTGCTTCAGAAGAGGCCTTATCTGTTCATTTGACGAAATTTAGTGGCACCCCTTGTAGATAGCAGGTTAGGCAACGACCGCTATGGCATCTCCTGACCCCTCTTAGGTTTTGCACTTTCTTTAGACAACGAAAAATGAAGTTTCCAGAACACTCTTCTCCTACCGATAGTAATCATTTCTGTCCTTTCATATTGTCACCATTACAGGAAATAAAAGATCCAAAAATCACCATGCCTGATAAATTCTAGGATTTCTGTGATACCAGAACGACCTTCAAAAATACGAAATACGACCAAAAATTTTTTTTCAAAATTTTATTTTGTTGTGCTAATAAATAGTAATTCAGTTGGCGACTCCTCGTGATCGACTTCCCACAGAAACTTTCCAAGAAGAATTCCCATCGCTGAACGAAATTGAGGACGACGTTATCGTCGATGTTTGTGAACTTGACGAAGAGGATGAAGATGACGATGACGACGAAGATGATGATGAAGGTGAAACTACTGCTACTCCTAGCCAATAACATCATCATAAAGGTTCAAGTTCGTCAAAGTAATGCTCATTTTTGTAATGAGGAATTCTTCTGTCGCTGTGTTCATTCAACTCAGGTTGTAAAGGTAAAAAATCACAAGAACGTTTAACCGTAAGCTCCGAATTGGTTAATTATGTGTTCACATATCAGTGCATACGTTTTTACCTACGTGTTTACTGCCGACAAACTGTCAATGGTCATATTACCCTATCGCATCAGAATTGCGGCTTTGAAGTTGTTTTTCTTGGCTCTATATGCTTTTACTAATGGTAGGGCAAAGGAAACGATACCCCATTAGATGTGGGAACCTATGTTGATAAGTATATCATTTGGATTCTGGGTTACCAGGTCCACGGTCTCCGCACTATTTCCTACCCTTCTGTTTACCAGTTCTAACTTTAACTGAAATTCAAAACAAATAGGTTGGAAGAAGAGAGGCTGCCGCTGTGCTGTACGAATTCTTATTTGCCGGTGATCATATTTGCTGAGGTTTTTTCAATAGTTTTGCCTCAGCATACCGTCAAAATCCCCTAACTAATACATAGAGTACGGTAGTTAGACAGAATTTGTGATACTCTCTTGATTACCGCTGCTGTTGGCTACACAATGGTCATGCTACCGTTTAAAAAAATCAAAAATATTGAGCAATAACCTCTATAAAAACTCGTCGATTAGTTGTTGAATCGTAAGACTCTCTTTTGTAAATGAATATCCCGGTCGATACATTTCAGTTCATACGTTATTATTCACATCGGGACTTATTACCTGGTGATAAAATCAAATAGTCATCTAATTTCAATGATTCTCTATCGTGCTATTGTCAGAAGGAATTCTAGATCGATTTTATGGCAACGAGTACAATTCACGTGTATATTGTGTATGTATAGTTGTAGAAATTAAAATTATTATTGTCAATTACCATATTTTATGATCATTGATTGATCTTTGAGTGTCGGTCATACTGTTGGTTATATTCGCTAGTGATAATAAAGACTTCTATCTGTATTCAACAGAGGCGGCAGTGTTGTAGCGACAAATGGTGCGCCATAGTCTGCGGTACGAATCTCGGATCGATACTCGCCCAGGTCTATCACACCTTTGGTCCCTTCGCGGTTAGTTTATTGGTACCAGACCCATTCGGGAGGATAAAAGCAGTGACCTGTACATCGGCTGGCTACCGCAAGTCATCGTATATACCACATGCCCATTCAAAATCTCACTATGATTCTGAATGGAAGTCGAGTGCCAGGCGCATCCTGAAATCAGGCTAATTAACATCGAGGTCTTGTCCTTTTATCCCCTACTTGTTTTTCATGAGCAGTGGAGTTGACTGGCTATGACTGAACCTTTGGGTTGTTATTCTTTCCCATAGCTCATACATCAAAACAACTGCGACACATTGAACTTTATACATCCTGTTATTCGATAAATAACATTTTCAGATCGAAATGATATGAGGATATTTGTGTAACACAAACAGAGGAAAAAGTTAGAAATAAACAACACAACAACACAATTCAATTTGAGGTCATTCTTCACATTTTGGTGATTTCATTGCTGGATATCCATTTGACTGTTGCTGCTTTTTCATAACTTCAACTGAGTACAACGACGATGATTCATCCTTCACTTCTAAAAATAAGTCAGAAAGCGTTGCAGAAAGATATACAGAAAGAACCTTTCCGACCTTTTCCAAAATATTCAGAATTCAGACTAGTAAGGTCATCGATTCCAGCTTACCGTTGGAATTGTTCGTGAAACTGTCGCTTAGTGTATCGTCGTCCTGAACAGCACCGTCCGCTTTTCGTTTCCGGTTATTTTCCAGACGACGTGAACGACCAAAGAACAAATCCAAAGGAGTACCACCTAAATAAAAAAAAANAAAAAAAAATGATCAAGAAAAAAATTAAGTAAATTCCTTAGTAAATGATTACTTCTTTCCCAGTCATCATGTTGGGAGCGGTGCTTTTTGAACCTTTTGCCGCATGAGGGTATACGCAAATTCTGGGTGCCAAACAGGTCCAAAACAGGGCCCACGGCCCCGTAGCAATCATCACTGATGACAAAATGACGTCGATTAAGTTCGAGCCTACCTAATTCTTCTATCCATTCCGAATTGTGCATGTACTTGATTTCATTCAAATACTTGCACCAATTCAATTTTCCATTTTCCATTAGCCATGCATAAATCCGCTCACGAATCATCGTCTCTTCTCGTCTGAAAATTTCTTGTTCAGGGAAAACACCATCGTTACAGACCTTATCTTTCGTTCTACGACATATATGCTTCAAGAGCCATATATGATGATTTTTGGAAAATTATTATCAAAACATGACAAACCTCGGGGCCACGACACCTTGCTTATTTTTGTTCTCTGCATAAAAGACCAACTGTGTAGACGGAAACTTTTCTGCAACCACTTTCTCCAGGAAACCTGGATTACGAATTTAATTGGAACAAGCTGATAACCAATGATGATAGTGCTGACGAACATTTCACTGTTACTCTATTATTTCACATCACTTCACTTGCTCAATCTGTATTAATGAGTAATCTATTTAAATTAGGACAAGCATAAGGTCAATTGCAATAAAGTAACAATCAAAATACGAACGTAGATTCACCTCGATAACAGGAGTCCAATTTAATTGTTTTCGGAGCTCCGAATAGGAATAGCAGGTTTGACAAAGCATCAGCCACCACTTCCGGTTGATTATTAATCAGTGGACAAGCGTAAGTATACTGTGAAACCTATAAATCTCAAATTTTTCTTCAGCAATATTTTTGCGCCGTAATCAACTTATGACACAGTGATTATAGGTGTCGTACTCCACTTACACAACCCATTTAATACAGTCCTTCACCATAGCTCACGTGGTCCTTTCCTCTAGGAGGAGTGGGAAATGGGATGGGGTGAGCCGGGTGGACGTCATGTGGTATCACTTACATGAAATCAGCAGCTTCCTTCTGAGGAATAAAAAAAAACCCCGAATGTCAGCTGGTCCACCTAATTCGTAGTACATCGTTGCTAGATTCGACTTTCAGACAAAATCGCTCATTGACATCCTAAGTGACCCTAAAATGGCCCGCCATAAAGTCCATCATAAAGAGCAAATACCTACCGATTAAGGCATGGCCCATCCCGAACAAGAACAAGAAGCAAGTATTCTTTCCCTTCATCACCTCAGGCAAGTGACAGCGCCCATGCAAAACTAAAGCGATAATTTATTACTTAATTATTCATCTAATAGTACGTCGGGATGGCACCTACCCTAGAGTGCACTATGCATGGCAACACCTTTAATCACTGCGCCGCACTTTTCAAGAATTAGAGAAAAAATCCGAAAAAAAGTTTTGTCTGACCGAAACCCCTTACTCTTTAGACACACCTCATCCTTGGCGTGAAAAATATATGTGAAGGGTGGATCAGGACGTTTTGAAAAATCAACAATTTCGACATCGACCGTTGACCAAACATTTGGCGAGCTTGGCTGGCCGCTGGTAGACTATAAAAAGATTCTCGTTAGGCTTCATATTGGAACAGAAGGAGTAGTTCGGATAGTTTTTAGAAATTCGTAAACTAGAAGCAAGAAAAAACATTCGTAGAATTACGATATACTCCATATTATTGAAAATCTTACCGGTTTGGCGCCCTCATCAAATTCTGAAATGAATTTCGCCAGATTCTCATTAGGTCCCATTCCGTACTCGTCCTGAATTTCACTTTTTAACGCCTGATAGATTTTTAATCCAAATGTGCCCCTTTAATTTGATAAACAATTTTTTTGTTTACGAATAAGCAATAAAAAAAGAATTTAGTCATGAACACACGGACGCAATTACGCTAATTCGCTTATTACCCCCTGCAAACACTCATCCCAATGCTATCTACCAGCTGCCAGCTGAAGAGGACAGACCAGACGTTATGCTTCGATAAGCTTATTTCTAAGCCACATAGCCACTCCGTGGAGCTAATTTCGCGGTTTCAACACATTTCAATGATGTACTTTACTACAACCATTTGCCCTAAACATCGGAAAGGCACACCCCACTTCTTTACTTTATAGATCGTACACGTTCTAGAAAACGCTCATTTACCTACTTCAAGTAAATCCCATATATAAGGGAAACCCAGAACGTACCAAGAATGAATATCGAAATTGATGAGTGGACATAAGTTCGCTCATGGAAAGAATGATAACGCTCATTGCGGGTAATCAATGAAAAGGTCAAAGCATCCTCGAAAACATCACAGCTCCTACCTCTCTTATCAACAGAGGGTTCCCAGAACATTTTTCAACTAAAGATTCCCAGAGTTTGCTAATAGCTTTGCTTTTGTTCCTATCTCTCTTCAATTGGAGCTGAGTAAATTAGATCAATTAGAAAAAAACAGTGGCGGAGTTCAAGATGAAAAATTCAGATTATAATATAGAACAATGGTTACTGCAGCATAGATATACTGTACAGAGCCCGTCAAAAACCAGCCCTCTCGATGGAACTGTTAAAGCGCTTCCAAAACCTCGTTACCTGATCAGCAATCTCCAAATCGTTTTCAACTTCAAAATGGTCATTGAGCCCATTCAGGAAATGCGTCATTGAGTCATTAAATGGATACGGTATTGCTGAAAAACGGTATCTCTTCAAACCTGTTTAAGAATCAATTGAAATTGCTTCTATAAACTGACCGTCTTCTCGCCTGCCATTTGGTACCATTGGTGTACGACGCCTTTCTATTATTGGCTTACTAAAATCTTCAATCCGAGGTTTAGCACGCCTTCTTAGTCGCGTATCTTCCGGATTACATGTATGCACATTAAAATCGTCGATTCTTATCTAAAAAGACTATTATTACATGTTTTATTAAGTAAAATGCAAAAAAATGTAAGAAGTGAGAGAATCTTCCTAAAAAGGTACGAATTTTCTAGAAGTAAAATGAAGAAACTTCTTTCGTATGTTCCCGAAAGGGACTCCAACGAATAGCTCGTAAAGCTGGTGGACAAGTAATACAAGATCAGAAGGTTTCAAATAGCCCAAAAAAAGACAAGAAAGGCTTCAAAACATTCATGTGAGGCTCTATGTTATTTGTTATTACAATGAAANCCCCCCCCCCCCCCCCCCCCTCCCTCCCCATCAATAATCGCCAGAGGTCTTAGTAATTCATTTGAGGTGCACTACTAGAAGAAAATACCTATACCGAGTTAATCCGCAGGTGATACTAGGAGACCGAGCTATGTTGATGATGTTACTAACGAAAGAATTTAGAAAGAGATGGTATGGTATTTGTAAAGGCAAGTGTTTTTCCACATTACACGCTTAGACGACGATAATTTCATATCTGTTTTCGTTGCGCCTGGCAACTGCCATTCAGACGGATATGCAGTCAATCAGTAATAATTAATAACCAGGATGGAAATACTGACTTATTAGTCTAATTGAAGCCTACTAATGTCTGAGCACAGCGGAACGGCGGAACAGCTTCGATACGGTAACTGAGCTACAGTCACTCCAGGTATAGTGACAAGGTGTCATAACATAGCATACAAAATGTAGGGTATAAAATAACAAAAACAACAAATTGATTAGTTATGATATAATATTATAGTAGGAGATACAAAGTAATAGTAAGGAACGATAATAAAACATGAATACGCTATACATCCTAGTTATATATGAAATATCAGGTGGCAACTAAGAGCTCTGGGTACTTAAAACATTTATCCAAGGGTAGCTGCCTGCTTTTCGAAGCGGGCTATATTTAAATCTCAGGAACATAAGTCTTCTATGGTCAATATACAATTAAATAAATATCTTTTTTCTGTAGAAAAGGCAACAATATGTTCTTAAAGTATACGGAATTACTTAGTTGCAAACCTATTATATTCAAACCCCACGTCGGATCATGAGCCCATAAAAACGTATCGAAGTAGGTGGGAAGCCCAGGCTCACAGAGTCTGTCATGCTACTACGATAAACGCCACATCTGCCATGCAAATCGCATGCTATTCATTAACGGAGCCATATCAATAAGAAACTGGTCAGGCATTTTGCTAAAATGACTCGCCCATCAGAATCCCAGTTCCGATCGAAATACAACACATAGTAAAAAGACCGAATCAAAATGAAATACTGCTAATATTTGTAAAAATATGGATATATTGAGTCACATGGTTCAAGAACAAGTCCCGTAAGTACCGCATGAGGCCGAGGATTAACGACCAATTTCCGGCTCGAATGCCGCTCAAGCTAACCAAGCCTCCCATAACCATCAAGGTCGTCTAATTAGAACTAGGCTTGCCCGACAACATGAAAACATTGATTTTTACACTAGACCCAAAAACCACAAATTATTGCCTGGACCGAATAGGCATGAATGACTTAAAATGGAAGGCCAAGGATGAGGCGCTCAAGAAGGGCCACTATGATAACAATTGGCAGGACTTTTTTGTATCCCACATCACGAACAGTTCAGTGTTTACATGAATATGCAAAGTGAGAAACGGAATTCAAACAGAAAAACAAACAAAACATTTTAGAGGTCCATATAGTGGAATTGATACCTTTTCTTCAGGATCGTTCGGAACACAAACACTCATCTCATAGCGGCAGCCACTTGAACGTTGAACATGACAATAGTAAATTATCCGAATACTATCTTTCATCGACACCCGTCGTTTCTGCGATACTAATCGCTCGGAGAGAAGCTGTAACGAAAAAAGATAAAGAGGCTATTGATGGCGGCAATTGACACGATTTATTGCCCAAAAGTGGTTTGCTCTGATGATCTTTACAAATAAAAACAAAAAAAAAACAAAATAAAAACAGAGGCAATTAACAGCAGGAAAAATAGATGAGAACAAAGGTTACATCGATTAATCAAAAGAGATCACTCAATTACCCAACTGAATTTACCAAACAAACAATTGTTTTTAGAATTTTAATGGAGCCGATATGATGTACATTGTTGAATTTCGAAATCGAATGTTAAAAAAAAAACTTGAATGATTCGTTAGAAGATTAGGATTCAGCGGATTCTGAGGCAGATATGATGGGACCCCGATGGATCCCATTTTTTTCAACCACTCAATGACCTTAAAAGCCTTGATCATCAAGGAAATTTGAGTAATTAAAAATACCAATCGCTGTACTTCCTTTTCAAATAAAATCAATACTAAACTGATCCTGTTAAATGTAGTTTTCTGAATTAGTAAAAGAAAACAGTCTCTTAATAGAGGATTTAATTTCAATGAACAAAACTTTATAACAGGAAACAATTATGTGAGATTTTGATTACATAAGCGGTTTGAAATATCATGATATAGCCGCATCCCAGCATCCTAAATGAAACCCGTACAATATCGATGACGATCTCAACTAGCTCTACAGTCTGTAAATAAGTGATCAATAAACATTTGACGCTTGTTTTAGAAGACAGCAAACCCGATGTTAGGCTACAGTTGTGGTATTAAAGCCTATCCCATAGCTCGCCCTCTTGAAAATCACCTTTTTCAGCGAAAAAAGGACCACGAGTTCCTCATAGGAGAATGGTCCTAATCACAACAACAATTATTGGTATTCATCTCATTCCAGCCAACAAAATGTAAATTCATGCTTGTTTGCAGGCTGGCTGGCCATTTGTTTGCACCTTGGGACCAGCAGTCGTGTACTTGCAGGTATGTTCACTTTTTCGCCCTACTGCATAGGCTGCGAACTGATAACCACCGCCTCTCAGGGGCGACAAAACTGAGAGAACAACCAGTTGCCGACATGCAACTACAGCTCTCTTTCCCCCAATTGCACTTCGTATCAATAGCTGAGAATGGAACAGTGGCGTTTTCAATTCACACCCACACCACCCTATTCCCTTCATCCGCTTAACCTATCTAATCCAAGAAAGCTGCAAAATTTAACACGCTCGAGTGCATGAAATAACGCCTGAAGGGCTCAGAAGGGTAAGAAAAGGACATTATACACCCACTCCTTCCACTTAATAACCTGCAACCAGCTTCACCCAGTTCCCATATTCCAAAGCGACAAAGGGCGCTGAAGAAAGAGAAAACGAGCTATGTTGATTCAGCTGTTTGGTTTTTCTTAAGCGGTCTTTGGTAAAGATTTTTCCAATTCAGCCAGCAACGAAATCGCATAATTAGAGCGGTCGGCTGGATATCAGACTCAGTACTCGTTCATCTCAAAGCCCTCACTCTTCCAGTTCATGGCGCGGAAACCAAAAAAACGTTTGAACCAAAACGAATCTTCTATTTTGTACTCAACAACGAACCCATTACCCTTTACGACATGACGCCGATAGCGAATACTGCCACATACTGACGGAAACGTCCTGACTGAAACTGCGCACTCCTTCGTCAAATCAAATGAACAATCCCCGACACGAAAAGCAAACATCACGCTTAGCACTGGAGCTTAAGCAGGTCGTCGTATAATGTATTCCCTCTTACACCCACTCTCGCCTCCACCTTTACCATGTCCCTTATGATTTTCTTCTGAAACACGATCCCCTTCCGTATCTACTCGACTTACAAAGGAATTGAACGGACATAAGGACAAACGGCTGACATTCAGTCTACCCACAAAGAAACGAGAATACATGAAACAGATCGAACCACTGCCTAGCCGGCTCTATGCCTTTCTCGTATATGGCTCCAAGCGAAACTTCAACAAACCTTCTCCAGAATCTTTGCATTATGACCTTGACTTATCTAAAGATTTTGTGGTTAAGTAAAACCTGTATGCGCCTACACACAGGCAAAACCTTGCCCACCCCACTATTCCTGCCCACTTAACTACAGAATCCATACTTTCCAGGCCTTTAACAAAAACAAAAGACATCAGGAATTGTTGTCTAAACGGAAATAGTGACGAAATAGAAGAAGCCCATGTGAAAGGAGATATCGAACAAGAAAATAGCGACGGAGAAGGCGAGCAGATTGATTTAATCATTGAAAGGAGTAGGAAGGAAAAAAACATCCAAAGAAAGCACGACATTTGAGTCATATAGGAACCAAAAAAACAAACAAATCCTCCAAAACAAGAAACAAACAAATAGCCTGAGAGCAACTAGAAGAAATCAGCTGACTCTGCAATTGGAATAAGTAAAACCAAAGAGTGGAGTAGGAAAGACAGAAACAAATCGATAAAAATATCGATCGGATCAATAATGAAATACTTCACCATAAGAAAAAATAATAAAAAAGAAAGACTGAAGGAATCTCGTTTCAACGTTGGAATGATTAGCTCAGAAGTTAATAAGGTAGGGAAAAAAACTTGGGAAATTCCCCGTAGGGCTCATGAAGAAGCTATCGGCCTCAGTTAAATATCATTTAAAAACATTTTCAAAAAGGAAATACCGTGAAAACTGAATATTTCAAGAAATCGTAGATGAACTACAAAGTAAGGAAAAATCTAAAGACATAAAGAGCTTAAAAAACTCACATCGACGGCTTCCTGTCTTGTAAAATACCCAACATGTTTCCATGCTTTTTTTGATGCACGCATTTTGACCAATTATTTCGACACCCAGGAGAATCGGGATCACTATAATACAATTATATAATACTTATTATATAGGGGTAATTATATAATAGTATACTTACAACAAATAGCGCTTGAGCTCCTCAAGAGACAGAAGACCTTCCAATACAAGGCCTGCAGGGTCTATGGCTAGTATGGGGACGATATGGTTCGGGCCGAATCAATGAGGGCTGGCGGCGGCCCCGACGAGGCCGTTGATGTGAGAGTGTGCGGCACTGATGGAGGGCCCGAGAGAGGCCAGCGTGGGGGCGAAACACTGGACAAACCACTCATCGGACGCCCCATTCTATCGCTTCCCCATGTTGCCCTTACAGCCGCCATTGCCTTCAAACCTGACTGGAACGACTGCCTCCATCTGTCCGCCCGTCGGTCACATGCAATCTCCGAAGGGTAGAGAGCTAAAGGGCATTATCGGCCAGTTCGCCTCTTTAACGAGGAACTGATGCAATCCATGGATTCTATGGTATAGTAACCCACCCTGGGGAGTAATTGACAAATACACAGACCATTGTGAGAACATTGTGGGCAAGCTGACGGATGGGTAAATTAACATGTGTTGTGCCATATGGTTATGTATCTTGGTCGAAATCTTGCGATTTTGGCGTTGTGCCAGAACGAAATCCTTCTTGGGTGTACTACAAGACAACGAACCACTGACTATAACTATTTCTAATTGTATCAAAAATCACCAGGGGGTGCTCTAGGGGTAAACATGCTTCGCGGTCCCCGGATACGATGTTACAGTAACGACACACTGATCGTAAAACAATGCAACTGTCGACCAGACAATCGCTTGCACATAGCTGGCACCAAATAAAGCTAGTGGGCAAGTCAGCTGCGGCTGAAAGTGTAAACATCACGGCTTCCCTTACAGTATTTCAGGCTACTGCTCTGCAATCCGTCTCATCAAGGCTAAGCATTCTAGGCAGGACCACCAGCCAGGGTTACTGTACTGAGAACTCCGGAGTTTTCTGACGGACAGCATAATCAACGCCTTAATTAGCTGTCCGTACTCTGAACGCCATTCCGAATTATCTGACGACCATCAACAAGGGTCATTAGAATGAGGGGCGAGCCGTGAAGAGCCTTTTATGTCTTAGAGGTGGTGTTATGGATCTGACAGAGGCGGTTCCTTTCCCTTCTCTGGTAATTTTAACATTTACTGTTCAAGATGTGGCTGGGCTGGGCTTGTAGATGCGGATGTCATAAAAGTCATTTTCAAAACAATAATTTTCACGAAAACACTCCCTTCGTCGACATGAGACCCAGAACGTTCGGGTCCTTGCGAAGAAAAAAGAAAACACATTAACTGAAAACTACAGTCCTATGTTGACACAGCAAAGGACACCCAGACCGGATTTTCTGGCGCTCGTAAGTCACTCAATAGGCCAACTACGCATGCAATAGCGCTGCAGTACTGGATAAAAGTACGTGGCGCATTCTTGAAATGAATCGGTACTTCAGAGGTTCAGCTAGGTTTTTACCTTCAATTTTAGTTTTTTTTTTCTTGATTTTTTACCATAGCTCTGTTTCGGCAGCATTCAGAATCAGCTATATCTATTCTTCTGCCAATACCTGCTGATTTTCTAGTGGGGCAGAATATACCCGTCTCGACCACTTATTCAATCCCATTCTCGAGTTGGCGGGGTTCCTACTCTGCCGTTAGTTACTTACCATAGTTTTTTTTTTTT